CGCTATAAAATTTCTTTGACATTCGATAATAAATATCTGTTGTATACATATTCACGCAGAAATCGCGGTAGAAGCAGCAAGCACTATCGACACCGTGCGTCCCCCGATTGCAATACCGTGGCCAGCTTTGGAAGCAGTTCCTCCGAAAGTCGAGGAGGTCTGAATCGATACTACCGTCAAGCTTGGGAAAATCTGCATGAGACGACCGGCCATAAGAACAATCATCCTCCTCTTCGTCGCAAGGAGACCCTGGATGAACCAGGATACCGAGAAAATTACCGTGGTAACAACACCGAGAGAGATGGCTCGGAATTAGTTGTGAGCGACGTAGCCACGTATCCGTCTAACAAGCACGCCAGCATTTCCGACAAGAAACGTCATCACCATCATCATCATCATCACCACGGTAACTCTACGCCCGAGTGGAGGCAGTCTCAGTCTCATCACAGATACTGAACGCCGGATCTATTACCTAGGGATCCCTTATCTCTTCAGGTTTTCGGTGAATCGATAACTGTAACGAGTCGCGATTGGATCACGAGTAAGCTGTTTTTTCACGCTCTATGCGTGTTTAACGAATGGCGACATCATGGAGAATGATGATTTTATGCCAAGGAAATGTAAGATAAAATCTCTTTAGTACAGATACTTCTATTCTTTTTTTTTTTTCTTCAATACAAAAGCCTATCTATCTTAAAATATCTTTGAGATGGATAGAATATGGATGTACATTTTCGCAAACATTTTGATGAAAAATAAAATCATTATCCACTCCGTTTTGCCATTTATGAACATAATCTATTAATAAATAAACCCATTTACAATGGGAATTTAAAAGAACGTGGTGAACGATTCAAACGTTGCGTAGGAGAATCTTGAACCGTGAACGACAAATAAAAAGAACTAATTCATCCTACATTTATTGTTCTGTTATACAATAAATTATCTACGATTATCTTGTTAATGTAAATACCGTGTACTGCAGTAGCGTAAACCAGAGATGAAAGTTGTGAATGCGGAGGATCACAAGTTGATCGAAGGATATGCCAAAAAAAATGAGAGAGTAATATATATTATATAATTACTGATCAAACGAATTCTAATAATTTTCATTTTATATAAATTATTATAAGAATATTTGATTACAGTAATATGATATATTTTATGAAAATCGTACACTCGGTAAGATCAGCATCTGTTATGGGCACTTTGGCCTTGCCTTAAGGGGATCGAACAAATTTCTCATAGCGGAGCGATATTCGAAGATGGTATCATTAAGGAAAGGCCAACGTTATCCATTTCGGAATCAAAATTCATTTAGTTATGGTGCTCATTCTAAGACAATGTACGCGTGTTAAAACTCATGTTGGATCTGTTTTTGTAGATTTTACGATATCTTAACGAATTATTTATGTCTAGTATTATTTCCAATCAGTTTCTTCGCATGCTCGTCGAGAATAAAAACATACATGATTAATAGATGATATGTATTTATTCGTTGACTGACGTAAGATATTCATAGTAAGTTCGTATGTACATGTATTTATTTGATATCTCAGTAATCCACAGGAAATTGTAATAGTGCCATTACGGGCAAACTTGTTTAATTGTATCTATATATTCTTGTGGTTTAATATAAACACAGAATGACAAACACTCGTATATTTTTAGTAAGTCTACGTAATTAGTTTTAGTATTAATAATGCACGAATTTTATTCGAATTAAAAATATTCACGTAGTATAATAATAATAATTGTTCCACAGAAATTCATAAATGAAAATATGAATTGTTCAAAAACTTATTGAAATAAATTTAATTCTTGTAACGCATCATTGTTTTATAAAAAAAATAAAAATCTACTTATTATTGAGCAGTCGGTTGTATCACATAAAGCGTTAAGGATATCACAATTAACTATGCAACCATTGATATATTAAACGTCCGATCTCTACTCTGGCAGCTTTCAATTGGGGTGGATCATTTTTGGAGGGAGGATACATGTTAGCACAGTGAGCAGTACCTATGGATTATAATGTTAAATTAATGTTTAATTTAAATGAGAAACGAAAAATTTTAATCCATTGTACACACCATTAATATAAATAGCAGGCATTTGCCGATTTGGTGACTTTGTTATTCCCAAAACATGCCAAGGATCAGTTGATCCATGTACAAATACTACATTTGTTACTTTCAAATCTAATCCTCCATATAAAATATTTGTTCTATTGATTGCCGAGTTCAACAAATGAATATTGTACCTATTAGAATACGAAAATATTAATTTTAATGACAATGTATTTTTCGCAATTGAAATAATTTTAAACAAACCTTGGACCAAATATATCAACACATTGTTGCACAAAGAAATCTGCTGGGAAAGTTTCACTAAATAAATTAGGGCGTGCTGTTGAAGTTTGAAAGAATCCAAATTCTGTACACGTTTGGTACGTCCATTGACGCCCTACAAAAAAAATATATATTGAAATAAGAAATGAGAAATAAAACAGCAATCATATAGGCAGGGAAATACGTTACCTCCTTCTGCTTCTTCGCTAGCCCACGTTACGTTTCGAAGTTTATGAATCATTTTGCTATACATATAATCTAAACACTTTTCTCCTGATGCATTCAACATTTTGGTGCTTAAAATTGCAAGTCTATCGACAGCTATACCTAATGTTTCATTTGTTAAAATGTTACAGGCGCTCTCGATAGTGAGATTAGCCATTGCGGAATTATTACGATTGTCTTTGTTATATTGTACAATACCGGCGAAGATACTTGCTATTGTTTCATACAAATTCGAGATATCATTACTTTTAGTGTGTCCAGAATCAATAGGATCACATAAACTATAAGTAAAAATAATTTTTTCATAATAATATATTTGTATTAATGAAGAAACAATTAAATTTTTACTTACACAAATTTTTTAGCTATTCCTTGTTGGCCAATAGGATGACGTAACATTATATGAAATTGTTGGTTTGCCTTTATTATTGTATTTACACATTCCTCAGAATATTCTTTGAGAGCATTCTCAACAACAACATAATATTCTATAAAGTATTTAAATTATTAATATAAAACAATAGCGCTAAATTAAGCATTTTTTTATATACTTACCCTGAAAATCAATTTCTGCTAATAAAGGACCACTTGCAGAAACAGCTCCATGTATTAAATGTGGGTATTTAGAACGCAACCATGCAGCTAATGATCCAGCATATGATCCTCCAAATGCAATCCATTTGGTATCCTTTGGTAGTTTGTAATTACTATTCATAAGTTGTATAAAATAAGCTAAATCTGCAAGTGCTTGTTGTGATGAAAGATACATTAAATTCTTCACACTGAGATCCCTGCAGACAACAGAAACATTATGTTATAATTTGTAAAATGTATCAATTATATATTTGATAAACAATGTTACATACGAAGTAGGATGACTTTTCCCATAAAAGCGATGTTCCACTTGAAAGCACAATGCTCCAAATTGCTTAGCATATTCAATCCATTGACCTTCTTTCATCCATTTAGAACCTGCTGCAGCTTCACCACTTATCATCAAGAATACTGGCCCACCTTTCTTGTAATACTCTCCATTTACAAAATATCTCTGAAAAAATAATTTGAATCAAATGAAGTGTTAGTTCATATAATTAAGTAATATTCAACACATTCTTACATTACCTGTTGCCAAACACGTGCATCAGTTGGATTAAAGTGATCTAAAAACTGTGTAAACCATTCATCGCTTGAAAGTTCTTGATCTTTAGATAAAGTTGGAACACCTAGATTACCATATTTGCTTCTACCTCTCATAAAAGTCCTCCATGATATACTATTATTTATGAGACTAATGAAGAACAATGATAGTAGTAACTGACTCATATTATGTTAGAATTGCAATTATAAAATATCATACGACCTAAAAAAACAAAAGTAATAGATTTATTATTTGCAAAAAATGATATTCTTTCAAAATATTCTAAAATTATTGTTTTTATAATGTGCTAACATTCTTATGCAAACATATGTGCAAAAAATATAGAAATATAGAAAACTTACAATTTTTATATAATACTGATAAGCACAAATTACGTATATAATGTACGTATAATGATAAATTCACTAATTTTCTGTTAAATCTTTCAGAGTTCTTTTTTAATAATCTATGAAGTTTAATTTAGTATATTAAAAAGGAACATTACAACTTATGAATTTAACGTGATAAGTGATTTTGTTGCCTACAAGGCGCTATATATTGTGACTTATTAATTTATAAGCTGTAACAAGTAAAAAAAACAGGTTTTTCCAGCGCCATCTGTAAAACGACTTCTACATGGAAACAATATATATATTTCTTTTTGTAAAGACAATTCATCCTCGCAGAAGAAACAGAAAGTTTTAGATAACAAAAAATAACTCTATAAATACATCTTAGTACGATCTAACGACTAGTATAGAATGTAAATAATAACGATTTATATATTACATAATTATATTTCTTCAACTATTTATAAATATACAATTTCTTCTTTAGATCAGAACAAAATTGGAGTAAAATAATACATTTATGTTAACATATGTACATATGTTTTTTGCTTTCAATATACATACATCATACATACATCATACACACACACACACACACACACAAATAAAATAAATATATATATGTACAAATAAAATGTTATTCATGACATAAGAAAATATGATGAGCGATAATAAAGCTTCAAATTACTAAACTGAAATTTACAAAAATAAATGTACGTTCCAAAATAAGAGTTGAATTAAAAAAATTTATAATACTAAACGTCATAAATTATATCTATGTGATTATACATCATACATGAGTATTTGAATAGATTTTTGTGCGATGTATGTATGAATGAGAAATTTAATCGAAAAATTGTCTTCAACAGTCCGATGATTTATCCTTGCGAAAAGCGTAATTAAATGATAAATAAACTATTGCACCGTCTAATAAGTATCGTCTGAATATAGGAGGAAAACTGGTGCTATGTTTCATATAAAATTTGATACTTAAACGTAAATAGTAAGTAAAAATAAAGACATTCGTTTGTAAGCAATAGTGATTTATCACGGAGTAAACGAATTGAGAAAATATTGACCTAACGCCACCGACAAAGGTTTTGTGTGCATTATATGTGTTACATGTAACCTCTTTCGTGGTTATAATACTATAAAGATGAACATGAAACGAAGCAATTGATTCAATTGTTAATTTTGATATTTTTTTTACTTTACGATACGGTAATTACTTTACAATACTTCATTCTTGCTTACTTTAATATTTCATTATCTCTAGTATATATTATTTACACAATTTAATAGTCAATTGAAACATTGTAAATGTTGTTCTTGAAGATTTATATAGAAATAAAGAAAAGGTCTAGTCAATTATAAATGGAACTT